ATGGCATTATTAACAATAGTCACCATGCTGTACATGACATGCCCAGGACTTATTTATTTTGTAACTTGAAGTTGGTACCTTTTGGCCCCCTTCCCCACCTCTGGTAACCACTGATTTGTCTGTGTCCAAGAGTTCAGTTTTGTTTTTTAGGTTCTACATATAAGTGAGGTTGTGCAGTATTTGTCTTTCTCTGTCTGACTTACTTCACTTAGCATAAAGTCCTGATGAGCCCATCCAAGTCATTGCACATAGAAAGATTTCCAGTACATTTTGGATTCCGCCTTCTCAGAGAACAGAGGACAAAGCTATGGACACATTCTGAGGGACAGAAGAAGGCAGCTTGGTGCTCTTCCTTTGATGCAGTCTCCTCTTTGCAGTTTGGGGAGGCTGTGGAGAGGGATCTGGAGGAAACGGGGCAGCAGCTGTGCAGAATGGCAGTTAGTCATCAAAAGACGAAACCTAGATTGCCAGGTGGCCTCAAGTGGGGCCACCCAGTGAGAGCCACGCAGGATGCAGGCAGTGTGGTTTAGTGCCCTTCCCGGTTAACTGTGCTGCTGTGATGAGAGGAAGCTCCCCATATTGAGGACCAGGGGAGAAGAGCAGAAAGTGTGGTTACAGACCCTGAAATGACAGCAACGGTTTAGGGGAAATGTCCTCCCAGGGCATTAGGCAGGGGAAGGAGGCAAGTGAAGTTGAAGTGGGATCATGTCAGAAGGGGCTGCAGAAATGGAAAGGCGACTGGGCAGAGACGGGATTTGGCAGCAGGAGGAGGGAGCAGCTGGGCCCAGCTGTAGCTGGAAGAACTTCTGTTTCAGATTTTGGCTGTGGATGAATGTGATGTGTGCATGTTTGCATATGTATTGGATGCATGTGCTAATTAGATATGTTTATTAAAGGCATGCTAATTTATCTCAGTTCTCAAATACAGGGCAAAACTCTGGAGGTGTCCGTCACATCATCATCTAGGTGAATGATGCCCCTTTTAGTTGTTCAGCATACAAACTGTCTACGGGCTCTGCTGGAATCTAAGCGTGATGATGATTTACCATCTACAGAATGTTCCTGGGTGCCATGGAGCACAGGGCTTCCCTTTCATTATCTCAGTTGTCTCCTCTGAGATAGACACTGTCAGCCCTGTTGAAAAGAAAACTACCAGCCACAAATGGAGTCATTTATGCTAAGGCCTCTCATCGGACTTAGTATCTAAGCTAACTGCAGTGCCAGTTCCCTCAGGAATGTAACCTTTAATCAGTCAACATGGAATTTCTTGGTCAGCACTAGGAAATTTACTGATAGACCCCTTCCTTAGGAGGGTGACTTTGCCTAAAACAATAATAATTTTTTCTGCTCTTTCTCCTCCTAAAACCCTTTTTTTCCCCTACAGCTTGACCAACTTTTTTTTTTCCTTGTCAATTTCATTACAATGAGCTTTCATCAGATCTTTAACCAGGCCATTGTTAAGCCTTCTACCATTTACAGACAGTTATTGTTTTACTCAGATGGTTTTACAAAAGCTTCCTGCAAATGTATTTCATTTTCAGAGAAATTCAGGGAAAGAAATTCAACAGGTACTCTAGAATACAGATTTCTGATAACTTTGAGATCATATAAGGGAACTGTCAAGAACAAAGACTGCCCTTGAATCTCCTTGGAAGGGTCTATACCAGGTTCTCCTCCCTACCTAGAGGGCAGCCAGACTTCAGGGACTTAGACTTTGGATGCACATCTCACAGCTGAAGAAGGCTCTCTCTGACATCTGGTCCTAACCCAGCATGGGAGAGACCTCCAAATCCAATTGGCATGGGAGAGAAGTAGCTGACATCAGGATAGACTACTTCCTCTCAAGTTGCTGGATCAGGACTTCTTACTTTAAACACGAAATCCTTTCATTTTTTTATTCTTTCCCTGGCCTGGAGAGAGAACAGTATCATGAGTGCCTCCCAGGACACCGCTAAGGGGGGCAGAGGGGTAAACGATCCCTTCCAGAGAGCTGGATTTGTCATCAATAATGCCTATCTGCCCATTAACAGTGCCACCTTAGTGGAAGTAGTTTGTGCCCTGACAGGGTTTGTCTCTGTTTATGGTGGGTATCATTTACCTCGGCCTATGAGGACCTCGACAGTTGGCACACAGCTGGGCAATCTAACTGTGTCCCCAACTTTTCGCAAGTGAAATAAGACATCTTATTGGTTGATTCGCCTGGACTTGTATCTCTGAGCTAGAAAAGACCTACCAGGAGGCATTCGTGACTCTGGATTTGCTTCCTTGGCAGAGCAATACTTCCCTGGTTAGGAGTAAATATAAAAAAGAATATGGCCAGAAACCTCTCCTTAACTCTTAAAAAGATATTGAGAGTCTTTTGCTAAGATAATCCCTGCCCAAAAAAGAGCCTTAGATTCTCTGGCCCGAGCTGTTCTTGATAATAAAATAGCCCCTGATTATCTCCTAGCTGAGCAAGGAGGTGTCTGTGCTGTGGCCAACGCCACCTACTGCCCCTGGATTAACACTTCAGGGGCAGTTGAAACTCATAAGATCCTTCAGCAAGGCCTTTCTTTGGCCTAATTTATTTTGATTGGTTTTGCTCTTGGGGACCGTGGCTCCAAAGTGCACTCCAAACCTTGGGAATTACCTGCTTACAATAATCATAATAATCTCCGAGGAGTGCTGTATTCTCTCAAATGCTTCAAATGCACGTTCACAGGTGCTACCTACAAATGAATCATCTCCCTAAGACTGGAATGTCAGAAAAAGAAGGAAGAAGATGACTCACTTAGCAATTGTGTACCTGAAGTTGCAACCTGTGAATATCACCGAGATTAAGTAAAAATGTTATGACCTGTGAATACCACGCAAAAGAGCAACGAAAGTGGTGAGAACTACAGAGAGGTAGCTGAGAGCAGTGCTAAGGCCTTATATTTTGATCCCATCTGTCAGTTAAGCTGAGAGTTGTAATCAAAAAGGGAGGAATTGTTAAAAAAAAAAACCACACGCCCAAAATGGAGTCACTTATGTTGAAGCCCCATGTCAGCAAAACAAGGCTTCGTAGATGATGTAATTGCAGTTTAGCCCCTTGGGAATATGATCTCTACCCACTCACCTTGGAACTATCTGGTCAGCACTAGGATATTTGCTGATAGACCCCTGCATTCCCCTAGGAGGGTGACTTTGCCTAAAACAATACATTCTTTGCCAATCATTTCCTTTTGTCCTCTCCCTCTCTGTCTTTAAAACCTTTCTTTTTCTAGAGCATTATGGAGCTCCTTTCTATTTACTAGATGGAATACTGCCCGATTCATGAATTGTTCAATAAAGCCAATTTGACCTTTAACACAGTTGAATTTTTGTTGCTGAAGACCCAATAGCAGATGAGAAAAAGAGGCCTCTGTTAGAGAAGTAAAATAACTTGCCCAAGGCCACCACCGCCTGTCCCCATTCCCCCTGCCCTCCATCCAGAAGCTGGAAGCATCTCATGCCAGGGCAAGAAACAAGAGGTGGGGTGGGCATCTTGCTGTACTCTCCAGAACCAGCTCGGTCTGCCCAGGACTTCTCAAAAGCTCAAAGGATCTGCTAGTTTTCAGGTTTTTCCAAATGATGCCTTTGTCGCCCACCCTCAGGGACCTTTGCTCCTTAGAGATCAGCTCTATGAAAAAAGGTGGCAGAAGATAAGGGTAGAGGACAAAGTCTTCCAAATGCTCCTTAAGGGAGTGTGACTTTCTCTCTCAGAGGAGCCTGCAGAAAGAAGAGGAAGGACAAGTGGGTGGCAGGGCTGGAAATGATTCCTCAGTGGGTGGGGGCTTGGGGTGACAGTGGAGGGAGAAGGCAGCTGACTCGGAGAGGGCAGTTTAGTCTTTGAAATCATGAAGGAGGCAGGGGTCAGGGCTGGGGCAGAGAATCAGTCACAAGATCAAGGAAGCCTGGAGTCCCAGCCGCTCCACTAAACATAAGAGGGGTGGGTGGGCTTAGTGCGAACAGTAGGGAACCTCCGAGCACTGCTGTAAGAGAGCGTGAGACTAGCCCCCCGGGGAGCTGAAAGTGTGCACAGACACAAGAAGGTTTTAGATTCACTTGGGGTTCACAGGTCCCTGATCTAAGAGGATTTGGAGCCTATTTCTATCCAAGAAGCTGAAAAGCTCACAGGCACAGGCCCCAGTGTCCAGGCCAGAGAGACCAGGGGGGCACTCCATGGAGAGATCTGGAAGGATGGACAAGTGCGGCGCTACAGTCTTCTCACTGAAGCACAGGACTGGAGCGGGTTGGGGACAGAGGGTGTCTGAGGCAGAAACGCCAAGGTCAAGGATGGGTGGACTAAGGATCCCTCAATACTCCTTGTGAAGCCAACAGTTGGGCAGGCAGCACGTTTCCAACAAGATTTGAACCTGAACCCTTTAAGGCAAGAATGAACTCACTTCTTGCCGCAGTCCTCACCCCTCCCAGTCTCACACCCAAGAGGGTCAGTTCATTTCTATGACCTGCGGGCTCCTGCAGGTGTTGGATCTTTGATCTCTGAGACACCTGCAGTGCCGCCTTTGGAGACCCAGTTTGAGGGATAAGATGAGAAAAGAGACTAAGGCCTAACTTTGCCAAGCCCTCCCTCCCCCAAGATGCTGCTCCATGGTTCCAAGCTCTGTGCAGTTCACAATGAGGGACTGCTGTGCATTAGCATCCACGGCACATCCCATAAATGCCAACAGTGTCCCTTAGTTTTTGTAACAATCACACACTTCTACATGCTCCCTGGAGGTATCACCCTAACTGAGAGCTCCTAGGGGCCCCCTTTAGTGCTGAGGAAAGTGCCTTCCACCCTTGCCAGTCTTTTCCTGGCATAGAAACACAGGCATAGAAACCAGCGGCAAGTGCTGTTTATTAGAACAGCGCCCCGAGTGAGGGAGAGAAGAGAGGCCGTGCCAGGAGGGGTGGTCAGCAGGCAGGGGTCAGCAGGATGGAAAGCGTGGAGAGCCTTCCCAGCCAGCGGACAGTGGGGAAGTGTCACTTAATCTTACTACAATATACTCGGAGAGGGAAAGAAACTGTGGGGTAAATCCAGTCACCAGAAGCCTGGCTGGGGAAAAAGAAAAACCTGAGCTGGGAGGTGGCGGTGGAGGTCCTGCGTCTGGAGGAGGCCTGGTTCTGGGGCCTGGGTGCTGCTACCTGGAGCCCATTCTGTCAGCAGAGACTGAGAAAGAGCAGCAGGGAGAACCCTGCGCCCACGGACCGGGCTGGAAAGGCTGCGAGCCCGAGTGTGTAGGGAGCGGGGCTCCTGCAGCAACCCTACCCGCACATGGTCACCTGCAGCCACTGTGGGGAGGAAAGAGGCAGATCTGAGGACTAGGAGGGGGCGGGATGGCTGGGGGCGGTGGGGAACAGAGGGCTGTGGGGCCATGAGCGGGCTGCTGAAGTTCAGGTTCAAGCAAATATAGCCAGTGTTCTTGGGGTCCATGGTTAGAAAGTATGCTGTTTGGGGGAGGAGGCAAGGGGAGAGGGGTTGAGAGCTGTGGCTGGAGTCTGAAAGACCCACCCCTGACTTAGGAGGATGTCAGAAAGGACAGAAGAAGCTGCTTCCTGCTGCCTCCCTGGAAGGCCTCCCAGCCCAGCAGGGAATGGGTAACACCTCATACAGCCCCTGCATGGGCCGGGCGCAGTCCGAGTGCTCCTCATATACTAACTCAGCTGCGCCCTCAAGGGGGCGTGGTTTGGGAGCAGCGCTCCTCACCTGAGTGTATGGGTGAAGTCAGAGGTCCGGGCCCAGGGTGGGGAGTAGGCAGGTGACCGACTCGCTGAACATGGCCTTCAGTCTCAGAAAACAGCTGAAGAAGCTGTTAAAATCCACGATCATGTCCTCCTTTGCATACCTGGCCACCAGCACCCGTGTCACCTTGTTATTCAGCTTGATGCCTGGGAGAGAGGGGGGATAGAGGGGGAGAGTCCAGCCCTCCAGTCCTGCCTCCACTCTCCCTGCCCCCAACCCTCTCCTGCCCCATGGCCACCTGCTTTCTCAATTGCCAAGCACATCTCATAGGAGTCCTGGTCACACTCTTGGAAGATATCCTGAAGGGACCGACAGATGTGGTAGGGCTGTGTGCATGGCTTGGTCATTGAAATAATGACATAGTTCAACAGAGTCGACTCACAACTGCCACCTAAGACCCCGGGGGCTTCTTACCCTGGCCTGCCCCCTGAGCTCCAAATATTCCCATCATCTAGTGACTGCAGGATTCATTTGCCCAGGGCTCTCTGCATGCACCCTTTAAGCTGGCTGGTACCTGGATTATTATGGTTATGAAATGTTTTGACTAGCTAATACACCAACACTTCAACAGATCCTCTCTCTCTCTCTCTTGTGTGTGTGTGTGTGTGTGTGTGTGTGTGTGTGTGTGTGTGTCAGTCTCCAATTCTACTGTCATCCTTACTAGTCCTCATCTGTCTTGAGGACCTTCCTTTCTCACACCCATAAACTGCCCTTTACCATCCATGTCTTGATTTTTTCCCATAGGATCTGGAACTCCGGAAGCCCCAGCTTGCCAGAAGGTCAAGGATATCAGAGCAAGGGGTGAAGAGGGCATCTCAGGAGCAGGGAAACAGGCTCACTGAAGAGGGCATGAGACCTGTGTGATAATTAAGGTAACAGCCAGAAAAACTGGCATCTTTTGCTAACCCAGAATCTAATCCCCATCAGAAGGAGGGCATGGCTGGCAGGGGAGGAGGCCACTTTAGGTCATGTGTGGGTTCAGGCTCAGGGGAGAGGCCAGAGGTAGGAGAACACTGGACAAGATGGGCCACTGGGCAGGAAGATACATCCATGAGGTTACCCATGCAGTGGCACATATCCAAGCCAAAGCCCTTGGTCTTGAGGCTTTTAACCATGAGGAAGGGAAGGGGCAGGAAGGAGAGGAGTGAGCTGGGCATTGCGTGGGACACAGGAATGGTCAAGGTGGGGCACGAACTGTGGACAAGGGTTGTGAGTGGTGGGGGTGGGAGACTTACAGTTGGAGATCAGCAGTTTTTGTAGCTCATAACGCCTATCTCTTTACCCTAGGAAGGGGGACAGTAAACCCCTGCTCTGGCCCCTTCAGCCCCATCCACATCCTCTCAGCCTCTTATCTCTCCTCCTGCCACTATATGAAACATATGTGTGAATTCTTGGCCTACATCACGCTCTGAGAAGTTCTCCTGGAGGGGAAGGAGTGCGAAAGGGCCCAGTCCAGCAAACTTCACAGCCTCCAGATGTTTCCTCCGATCCCCCAGCCCCAAAGCCTCCCCTACCTCTTGGAGCAGCTCGGCATAGTTGGCATTGTCTAGTTCCCTGGGCAAAAGTGAAGGAAGGCTCAGGGGTTACCAGCAGTCAGGGACACAGGGATTTCAGTGAAGTGGTCAGGAAGAGGTCATGTCATGTACCTGGAGCAATATGCAACAGGCTCTGGGATCTGGGTTCTAGTTCTGACTCTGCTACTAACTGGGATGTCTCTTCATGCCTTAGTTTCCCTGACTGTGAAATAGGGACAGAGCTGGGGAGGACCAGATGACTACTCCCTGAGCATGACATCTTATAGCTCCTGGGCAGGTGGCTTGGAGCAGTGAGGTGGGGCCTCCTCACCAGGACTCGCTGTGCTTCTCTGTGAAGACCAGAAGCAGGAAGTCGGTGTCCCTGAGTGGCTCAAAGGTGGAGGGAATAATGACATATTCCGCTGGAGGTAGCCGGAGCTAGCTGCTCACCTCCCGTGGGTTGGTGAAGATCTCTGAGAAGCCAAAGTCCTGATACCTCATGAAGAAGTTCTTCTTCAAGTGGAAATCTTGGCTATTCTGAAACTGTGTGTGCCCTGGAGGTGGGTGCAGGGCTGGCATAGAAGCATAAGGAGGGACCCCCAAGGTGGAGCCTGCTGGGCACAGGTAAGGGGAGGTATTGCCACCAACTGACCAGGGCTAGATATCACCCACCTGGCAGGGTCCCAGGGGGCTAGAATTCTAACCTAGGGGGCCCCAGAGCCCATCACCAAATTCCACTCCATGCCCATCCACACGCAGCCAGAGGTGGGCAGGGTGCCTGCCCTGGATCAAGTCCCATATCTTCTGTACCTCCTTTGGGATCTGGGAAGGGAAGAGAGAGAAGGGTCAGAACCCTAGGGTGGTGAAGGGGCTTGGGTCACAGAAGCAGGTGGGGTGTCATATGAGTGCGTGTGTGTGCGCACACACACATTGGTGGGTATTAAGGGCACTGGGACACTGGTGGTGGGATGGAGCATGGGCTCTGATAGCTAAAAGTCTTATTGTTGATAATTACTCAGATTTGGACAGCAAAGTACACAAGTTTACACAAAGTCTTGCCAGGGGAAGATTTTTACCACTGCATGTTAAGGACAGGAAACAGAATCTCCAAGAGATAAGGTAATTTGCCCAAGGTCACACTGCCAAAAATGTGAAAGAGCTGGGATTAAAATCTAGGAGACTGTTCTCCTGAGCATGCGCATGTTTCCATGGGCCGCTTATATCCTGCAGGAAGTCGAAAGGTGATTATTGAAATCGAAGACTGAGCACAAATACATTTGTTAAGAGGCGAATTAAACCAAGAAAAATAAGTTGCTCTTCTGCAAGGATGACCAACACCTTTAATGTGCTGGTGCACAGTAATGTTCTGGATGGGAAGGGGAGGAGAGAATATACCCTTTTCTGGAATGACTGTTTCTAACTTTGGAAATGTCTTGAGGCATGTCTGGTGTCTGAACATGATGAACTCACAGCCAAGGGAGAGGGCAAGCTGGTGTCTGTTTTCATTTGCTATTGAGCCTCCGGAGACTGCACTGTGGTCTGGCATACAGGTGCTACATATATACTTGTTGAATATATAAGGGAATGAACAAATGGTCGTCTATAGGATTCTGCAAAGCTCAGAAGGAAGATACACTTGTCAGGGATTTCTCCTGGCCACTGGAGTCAAGGCTCTTGGCCGGGTGCCTGGGGAAGGCAGGGAGGGGTGGTGGAGAAGTCTTGGAGTGTCTGGGACTCAGGATGAGGCTCTACTTCTGACCCTTGGGTGTGTGAAATAGGGTACATGACCTCTCCTCCGGTTCTCAATCTCCTTCCTCTTCATTAAAGGCATTGCCATTCATAAGGCCTTGGAACAAAGCCCAAAAGGAAGTGCTATCTGAGTGCACTGGATTAAAAAATCTGTGAAAATAAACCTGTCTCAAAGCACAACACATCCCTCAAACAAGAGCCAGGGCTGTGGAGCCTGTTGGATGGAGCGTGTCTCCCTCCCAGGTGGGCAGTGGCCCCAGGGAGGAAGGCTTTGAAGGGGTGAGGCCAGGGGAGGGGGCAAGAGTGGCTGGGGTCCAGCTGGGGTGCCCACCGCATAGATGACGAAGCCAATGGTTTGCAGCTGGGCTCCGTGGGGAGGTGCCCAGCTCCAGTTCTTCTGCGTCAGGGTCACCAGGCAGGTGCAGACAGATTCATCGTCCTTTGGGTCGCCGTCCTCTTTGGGCAGACAGATCCTAAACTGGGGGTTGGTCCAGAATGTGTCTGTGGAGGAAGCAGGTCAGGATGGCTGTGCCCTTCTCAGGTGGATGGGCTTCCCAGCCACATGCCTGCCTCCTAAACATGGCCCTTTGGGATCTGATGGGCCCCTGACCCTGTCGCAGACTCTGACCCCAGTGACCCCGGCCCCCAGTGACCCATTCCTTGCCCCCTTCCCCTGAGTCCCCTCACCCACCCAGGTGGTTCCTGCAGCCCCCTGCAGTGCTGCCCCGCCGCCAGCTGCCCTTGTAGAAGGTGGTGTGTCAACAGCTGGTGTGGTCCCCAGACAGTGCACCAGGCATCAGGTTGCAAATCTCCAGGAGAGTGAAGTTGTCCAGGAAATCTTGGTAGGGCATCCTGTGGTGGAGGGTCTGGTGGTAGAGACTGTCAGCGACACACCCACACCCATAGGCCCCCAGAACCCGCCCATCAAAGGCACAGGTGGGAGGGTGGCAGGGATGATGAAGGGACGGGGTGTGGGGGGAGAAGGGAGTTACCCCAAGTGGCACTGACCAGAACTCTCCGTCCTCCTTCCTATTCAGCAGCTGCTTCTGGATGTCTGGGGACACCTCTTCCCACTCCCTGGTACTGGAGCAGAGTCAGGCAGCAGAACAAGAGCCGCACAGGGTCAGGAGACACCTGTTCCTCCCCAGGAGACTCCTCAGCCCTGAATGCCTGCCGACTGGGGGTTCTGGGTTAGACAGAGAACCTAGAGGGGTGGGGCTCTCCCTGGCATACCAGCCAGTCCCTCTGTGGCATTGCCTGGCCTGTGGGTCTGTCTGCTGTGTGCTCTGCCCATCCAATGAGGGTGCTGGTCAGGGGCACCTACTTGTCACTTCAGGCTCCATTCCACTCATTCCAGCCCCAGGGTTTCTGGACCCAAATCAGTGTTTCTGTCCTGCCCCTGTAGAAGACCTGGGAAGGGAGGGTGTCAAGCCCAGGGCTGAGGGGTTAGGAGTTCTTTTACTCTGTGTCTGGGGCCAGGGTCTGGGCTCTGGCCACGTGTTGTCGGATTCACATCGTAGTGGAGGCCAGTCACTGAGTAAGCGTGACCCTTCACCAGCATCCCCTGGGTCATCGACTCCAACTCACTTTCACTGGTGATCTATAGAACAGAGAGGAAGGAAAGGGTTTCAGGATCCGGTCAGAGCCATGAGAACTTTCTGGGTTCATTTAAAATTAAACTTTGTACTTTCCAATAATTGTGGATTGTCATGCAGTTCTAAGAAATACTACAGAGAGATCCCATGTATCCCGTATCTGGTTTCCCCCAGTGGTAACATCTTGTAAAACTACAATAGTAAGATCAGCATGGTACTACTGATGCAATTCATCCATCCTGCACAGATTTCCCCACTTTTGCTAGTCCTCAATGGTGTGTGTTCTGTGCAATGTTATCACGTGCATAGCTTTGTGTGCCCTCCAGTACAGGACCTTTTCTGGCTCCCCTTACCCCTGCCCTTTTATATTCACACCCACCTCTTCTTACTACCCTCTTCCCTGACCTCTGACCACCACTATTCTACTCTCCATTTTTGAAAATTTTGTCCTTTCAAGACTGTTATATAAATGGGATTTGCACAGTGTGCAGCCTTTTGGGGTTGGCTTTTTTTTCATTCGGTGTAATTTCCTTGAGATTCATCCAAGTTGTAGCATGTATCAATAGTTGATTTCTTTGTATTGCTGGGTATGTGTGCACCATGGTTTAACTATTCGCCTTTTGAATGGCATCTGGGTTCTTTCCAGTTTCTGGCTAATATGACTAAAACTGCTATGAACATTTGTGTGCAGGCTTTTGTGTGGAAGTAAATCTTCATTTCTCTGGGATAAATGCCCAAGAATGCAATTGCTGGGTCATATGATAGCACTCTGGGTTCATTTATTTATTTGAACAAATATTTGTTGGGTGTCCATTGTATGCCAAAAGCCATCCCGAGCCCCAGGATCCAGCAGTGAATGAGACAAATAAGGTCACTGCCCTCATGGAATGTGAAAACTCTCTGGGAAGATAGGCTATGAATAAATATGTAGATAAAACAATTTCAGATTGTGATAAATGCCAATGAGAAAAATCAAAGCAAAGTAAAGACTAAATGCAGGTAGGAGCAGCTAATGTAAATTGGGAGGCAGGGTAGAGTAGCTCAAGAAGGGACACTGGAACTGAAATGTGAATGAGGAGGTATGCAGGTAGCCACACAGGTAGCCATGCAGGTATCTGAAGAAACAACCTTCTAGGTAAAAGCAATAGCAGGTGCAAAGGTTCTGAGGCAGGACTGAGTGTGGCTTACTTCGATGGAGCAGCCCATGAGGGAGGATTGCTGTATCGCCTTCCTAAGCATTCTCAGCACGTTCTGAGGGGGCCTTTAGAGTTGGAGGCTCTGGGTCACACACCCCGTGAAGTCCTCAAAGCCATCTACTCTGTTGTCCCCTGACAGTGCTACATAGGACCTGCTCAGCCTGTGGGCACAAAGAGAGCACTGTTTGGAGTCTGGGATGGAGATGTGACCTTGGACATTAGAGGGAGTGGTGAGGAAAGGGAGGGATACCCTGACATCCCCCTGCCTCTTCTCCTGATTCCAGCTGATCCCAGAGCTGCCAACTGGCAGGCGTGGAGGCAAGCGTTGGCTTGGGTACTCACTTGGCATACGCTTTCTCCAGCAGGGCACTCCAGAACTCAGTGCACTCGACTGAGTGCACGAACACCAGTTTGCCACGCTTGGTGGGCAGCCGGTCATCCACCACCATGTCCACCCACTGCCCAAACTGCCAAATCTGTGGGCAGCAAGCTGGGCCTCGGAGTGCCTCGGAGCGTCTGGCTGCTCTAGGCCCCCTTCAAGTGCTCGTGGACACGCACACACACGCACACACACACTTCTCCAGTGAGAACTGTTACACGTGCACCTCCTGGTGGCCAGGTTCAGTGACAGGCCCGCATCAGAGAGCCCACTCCCCAGAAAGGCCGCCTAGTGAATGGGAGGCAAGGAAAATGAACGTCACCCCAGCCTTAGCTCCCGGTCCCGGCATGGCTTCCGAGGGGAACCCTGCGCACCTTTTGACCTTGGCTGGGCTTTAGGATTTCTAATAAGTCCTGCGATTCTCAAAATGTTTCACAACACGGGGAATTTGTCCACATGTTACTAAATCTACAGAGCAGATTACAAAAATTGTGTAACAGAGACTCTTAATGTCCTACACACACACACACATGTATATATATACATACACACATATACATGTGTGTGTGTGTGTGTACTGAGAGAAAGAGTGAAGGGGAAGAAGAGGCAAAACATAATTACTTTCTTTTGGGCTTTAAAAAAATAGCTTACACGATTTCTTTAGTGAGCAGATATTTCTCTGATAATTAGATAAAACCCCCACCCTAATAAATGTCATATTTCAAAAGAAAAGATAGAAAGTAAACTTCAGAGCAAATACTCATCCATTCTCTTCATCCCTCCCTTCTTCTTTCCTTCCCTCCCTCCCCACCAAACACAACTTTGGTGTTCAAATCACCCTTCACCTAAAAATGGAAGACGCCAGCATAGTTGTTCCTGAAGCTCTGTCCCCTGGGTACCATGCAGTACAGCAGCAGTTTGGGGTGCGTGGTAAGGGAGCTGATGGCAGCCAGCAGTGCCCTGGGAAGACAGGCTGGGGCTTGCCCCCTTGAATGCTCTCAGGTATGTATATGGGTCCCAGAATCCAAGACCCAGAGCAGCAGCAACTGGCTCTGTTGTGGCTCCCACCCCAACAGACATGTACCCCCTTGGTCTTCCCACTAAGGAATGTTCAGGAAGGAAGGAAATAGGGAGAAAAAGGGCTGAAGGAACAGGCTCTGGGGGGCAAGCTCCTCTGCCTTTTCTGTTAGAGCCAGGTGCTTTTGTTTGGGGGTTTGGGGAGGAGGTATTTTTGACCTTGGTCTGTTGCTCACTTTGGGTCCCATTTTCTTCAGGAGCCAATTCTCTCCCATCCCTTGAACAAATCCAGTTACCTTCTCCCACAGCACCCCACCTCTGCTCCATGATTACAGTGGTGTGGACCTCAAAACCTCTCTCCTTAAGTCACCCACGTGATGTTGGAGACTCAGGGGGCTTCGTCTGACTCCCACTGGGTCCCTGGGGCCAAGTGTTGATGGGTACAGGGGCCGTGTCCCTGGTCTGAGGTCACGTGGGCCGTTTCTCTCCTGGTTCTCTCAGGCCTCACTGGTGGGGGCCTGTGGGGCAGGGTGGTGTCCCATGTGAGCGTCCTGACACAGAGGGCACAGGAAAGCTGCTGCGATTCCCAATGGCCTCCTGGCTGCCTGAGGTACCCATGGGGGAGGCAAAGGTGGGGAAAGGAAGGTTAAGGACAAAGGTGGGGAAAGGAAGGTTAAGGGGTCCTCCATCACCAAAAGGGTGCCTAACTAGGGAGAAGCCGATTTTCTCCTGAGCCAGTGAGTTGCCTCGGCCCAGGTCCCTTCAGGCGCCTTGGCCTGAGGTCACCTGGGCTTCTGCCCTGCCCACGACCTGTCCTTTTCTCTGCCATAAATGAGACACAGCTCCAGAGGAAGCTCACCCTGGTCTTATCCCTAAAGACGCAATGAGGGGTTTGGAGGGAAGCACGGAGCAGGACCAGGCTTAGGGAGGAATGTGCCTTGGGGCTGTTAAGGGAGCACACGGATGAGGGCCTGAGGAAGCCGGGTGCTCTTTACTTGACACCCAAGACTGAGGAAGTTCTGGTACCTGTAGATGCTTGAAAATATATCCACCAGCTCTTTGACAACTCGCCCCTCACAAGGTGGAGCCTAATCACCACCCCCGCCCCCACCCCGCTGGGGGGGTGGGCCAGATATCAGGATTCTAGCAGAGAAAGTGGAGGTTCCTTGTGTGTTCTCCTGAGACTAGGTGGCAAAAGGCAGGATGGCTTCCTCCTTTCTCTCCTCTCTCTTGAGTCCCCCTCTGTAGGGGAAGCCTACCATGTTGTGTGGACACTCAAGCAGTCCTATGGAGAGTCGACAAGGCAAGGGACTGAGGCCTCCTGCCGCATGAACCACCATCCCGGCCACAGATCCTCCGTGAAGTCTTTAGATGACACAGCCCTGCCTGATCTTGGTGTAGCCTCGGCAGAGACCTTGGGGGCCAGGCTCACCGGGCTCTGCTGCTTCCAGATTGCTGACCCACACAAACCGTGAGATGATAGATGTTTACTGTTGCTTTAACTCACTGAGTCTTGGGGCAACTTTTTGTGCAGTCATCAATAACTGATATCCTATCCCTGCTTACTCTCAGAGCAGATGCTAATCAGTGGGGGTAGAATCCGGATTAACGGAGGTGCAGGGAGAACATACCTGACCTTCTCATAACCTCCCCTCAGAAGATGCAGGGAGGGGAAAGAGGAGAGGTTGTCTGAACCCAGGGGTCCCAGTTCCCCAGCCTCAAAAGATACTCTGGCATTGCCCCCACCCAGCCCCCCTGCCTGACTCACACCCGGCCCCCGCCAAGGCGAGACTGCTTTCCTGCTCCCCACTCACCAAGGACCCCCTGGAAGATGTCTGTCGGGATGACCCCATCCACAGTGAACTGAGGATTGCTTGTGATTTGCTGTAGTGAAGGAATAAAGGTTTCAGAGAGCCCAGGACATCCCCTCCCAACCTCCCTCCCACCTTTCCTGGATTGATGCCCACCTCAAAGTTCTAGGGGAAACCATGAAGGTGGGGAGGGGACGGCATCGGACCAGCCTGGCATGGTTGTAAGTTGTGACAGCAAAGGCTGGTGGTGAATGACTTTCCCAAGGGTTATCTGAGAGCATGTGCACAATTGTCCCCAACCATGGGGGAGGTGGAGGCCTAGTGCTAGGGCCAGCATAGGGCAGTGGAGGACTAAAGATTGTCAGAGTGACTGGGGTGTCACCACAACCTCCCAGCCCCTCTGTGAGTCCCTGCCTCCCCTCCCAGTGCCCATGCTGGGCCGCAGCCAGCAGATGTTGTGCACATTTTTGGAGTTGGGGCCCGGTTCCTTGAAGGCCAGCGAACTGGCTTGAGCAGGAAATAAGGCACCCTCAGACAGCTCTCCCTTCCTCAGGCAGGCTGCTCGCAGCTCCTCGAAGCTCTGGTTATTGTAGTTCTGGGCATTGTGGTGTTGGCCCACGCCCTTGGCCTTGAGTCGGCTCTGGCTTATGTGAGCCACCATTCCCTGATGGGTGAAAACTGTCTCTGCTTAATAATAAAAAGACAAATAACCCAATTAAAAAATGGACAAAGGATCTGAATATATATTTTTCCAAAGAAGATAATACAAATGACCAATAATCGCATGAAAAAATGCTCAACATCATTAGTCACCAGACAAATGCAAATAAAGGCTGCAATGACATAACAGTTCAAATCTGCTAGGATGGTTATCATCAAAAAGACTGATAATAATAAAAAGCGTTGGTGAAGATGTGGAGAAATTGGAACCGTCACACACTGCTGGTGGGAATGTAAAAGGGGACAGCCACTTTGGAAATCAGTCTGGTGGCTCCTCAATTAAACTCAGAATGACATACGATCCAGCAATTCTGCCTCTAAGTATATGCTCAAGAGAAATAAAAGTGTATGTCCATATAAAACTTTGTACACAGATATTCACAGAAGCGTTATTCATAATAGCCAAAAAGTGGGAAGAAACCCCAAATGTCCATCAGCTGGTGAATGGACAAATAAAATGAAGATTATATGTACAATGAAATATCATTCAGTGATGAATAGGAATGAAGTACTGACGCATGCACGACACGGAAGAATCTTGAAAAAACTATGTCAAGTGAAGTCAGTCATAAAGGACCACATATTGTACTATTCCATTTACGTAAAATATCCCAAATAGGCCAATCTATACAGAAACAGAAGATAGATTGGTGGTTGCCTGAGGCTTAGGGGGATGGGAATGCTGGAAGTTGAAGGCTAAAGGGTATGGGTTTCTTTTGGGCGATAATAAAAATGTTCTAAAGTTGACTGTGGTGATGGATGAATATACTAAAAATCATTGAATTATACACTTTAAATGGGCAAATTGTATGGTATGTGAAGTATATCTCAATAAAGCTGCTAAAACAAATGACCTCCAGACCATGAAAACAGACACTGCCTTTTGGGGGGAGTGGAAATAATGAAATGCAGAGGACAGGAGGGCAGTGGGGAAGGGGGGCAGCTGTCAGGGAGAAGACAGTTAGGGAACAGCCTTGCAGGTGGGTGGGTGAGTTTAGGAGACAAAGGGTCAGGCATGCTGGCCGAGCCTGAGCCAGCCCTGCAGCCTTGAACCAGGCCACCCTGCTCACACTCCCTCCCCCGGAGGGCCTGCAATCTGTTTACATGGATTCCTGAGTGTGGCCCTCAGCCACCCAGCCACATGGACTACCTGCCCTCAGTGGCCCCGGGGAAGAGCATGAATGGGGAGGAAGAGGAGGTGAGACTGCAGAACCGCAGAACCGAGATGAGCTCTGTATCTGCAGTCCTGCCCGCACAGGCACCCTTCCTCCCTCGTCTCCCACATTCTCCTGGCTCTGGAACAGGACAGCTTAGGGGGAGGGGAGGAAGGATGTGGTCTGAGTTAAACAGAGTCCAGTTGGCGCCGGGCTGACGAGGGAGGAATCCAGGGTGAGGAGAAGGTGAGCCGCAGAGAGGGGCAGGAGGGCTGTGGGCTGATCAGGGGTGAGACTGGATGGAGCTCACAGAAGCCAGAGCAGGGGTTCCCAGTTATTCTCCCCACCGGGGGTGATGAGAAGAGTCTGTACAACAGCAGAGCCAGCAGTAGAGCACCTGCTCTGTGCCAGGCACACGAGCCCTGAGAGGCCCGTGTAATAGCCCAGGTCAACAGGAGAGGAAGCGGGGAATCAGAGGTCAAATTGTTTGCCCAAGGTCACAGGGTGAGGGTTGTGTCTGGGACTGTCTGACACAGACCCCAGACCAGGCTTTTGCCCTACACTCCTCCGGAACAGGCCTCTGCTTGGCAGGGAAGCCTTGCAGAGCTGGGACTGACTCCCCGTTGTCATCAACTAAGGGGATCACAGGCATTTACCTGATAACCCTTACTCTTCCCACTATCCCAGTCAAGCAAACCCGTTCTCCTGTCCCATGTCAGTGTCTCCCTAGTCCAGTAATAACCCCTGTTGTTTCCCCTTGTTATCCTGGCAAACCCAAAGCAGGCTGCTGCCCTCCAGCACAGTGCCTTTGCACATAGGCTGCTTTCCTCAGCTGCGTTAGACTGGTCCAGCCTCTGTGCCTCTGCCTGGAATCATTCCTGATCCCACACGCACACCTTGGCCACTGGTTAAACTCCTGCTCGGCCTTCGAGTCCCTGCTCAATGTCACCTCCTGGGTGAAGCCTCCCCTGATGCACCCCCGAGTCTGGGGTTGCCCCAGTGCCTGGCACTTCTCTTGTGTGACACCCATCTGGCTCTGAGTTGACCTGACTGTGAGCAGTCAAGGTGGACAAGCACCTCGTCCACCACCAGGTTTCCTCTGTCTCATGTGGCACCTGCAGGGGCTCGGAAATGCTTTCAGGGATGAGTGAGTGAGTGCCTTGCTTTGCACGGTAGTAAGTTTTCCTCTGTTTTCTCTCTTCTGCCCTGCTCCCCAACTCCCTGTCTCACTGTAGCCCCTGATGTACTACCGATTTTATTTATTATTTGTCTCCCTCACTAGAATGAAAGCTCACAAGGGCAGGGATTTGGCTCTGTTTTGTTTGTTGCTATATCGAGCATATCGAGAACATCAACAAATGTTTTGAGTAACATCCCAAGTGCTCCTAGAAGGGAGGAGGTTTGTGTATCTGTTTCCCCTACAGAAAGGGGGCCCAGTAATGATCCTGTGAAGGGACAGATGGGCATGTGGCTCATCCCTGGGACACACTCCATTCCATTAGGGAGAGCCCCCCTGAAGGGCCTACCCCTGGAGAGATGGTGGGACCTGCAGACTCCAAGCCAACACTGCCCATAGGCCATGCCTGGGCTGGGGAGCAACAAGAACTCAGCTCAGCTCAGGGAAGCGGGAGTATTGGTGCAGACAAGGAGCAAAGGTCCCGGCCACAGCTTAAAAGCCTCTCTGGGGTCCCCTTAGGGGTTCCTGGGGCCTGGAGACTCCTGGGCCCCAGGAAGAGAAGTTCATTGGCTGTACACATTGGAGTGAGTTCGCTGAAGACTTGGGATCCTGTCCTTCGCTTCTTCCACAGAGCCTGTGGCTTGAGATGAGAAGACATGAGGAGCCCTCTCAGTTATACAAGTAATGAACACTCACATAGCATTTACAGAATTGTAACAGTTAACTCACCTATGTGCCTTTTTCTTCTTTTTTTAAATTTCACCAGCAAGAAATGACTTTATTCAGGAATAGTGAAGAATTGCAATCAGGACATGCAAGCTACCGCAAAACCATAGGCAAGTCCATCTATGTACTTTTTCATTGTATCCTTTGAAGGCAGACTGGTAAATGTGTTTCCCGGAACATGAGCTGTCATAAAGTTATAGAACTTGAAGAGGGGCTTGTGAGAGCCCCGATTTATAGCTGGTCGGTGAGTAGCACAGGAGATAACCTAGGGCCTGCCACTGGTTTCAGGAGGGTAGCCTTGTGGGATGGGGCCCTTCACTTGTGGGATCCAATGCTAACTTCAGGTGGACAGTGTCTGGACTTCATGGAATCATAGGACCCCAGCTAGTGCCTGAAGTGTTGGAGAATTGGTGGTTGTGAGCCAAGCCCCCTGCACATTCAGTGTCAGAAGTATTTTGTGCATAAAGAATGCAGGAGTTTTCCTGTTTAAGAGGCATAGATACAACTTGGCCAAAGTCACACAGTTTGGTCAGTGGTTGAACTGGCATTTGAACCTAGAGCCTGTGAAATAAAGAAAAACCAACCACCATGCTGGGGACCACTGAAAGATTTCCAAGGCCTGAATGTTAAAAGTCTTGTTAACTCTGAGAGTCTCAAAACAACTACCCCTGAAAATGTAAACTTTCTAACACTAGCATAACATGTTCATTAAAACCAAGTTAAAAGCTAAACAAAGTAGGTCTTACCACATCAGTTCTCCTTTGCTGTCTGGATTCCTGCTCAAGGACATAAGATAAGCTAGAATGTTTGCCCTTCCCCTTAATGCCCTTTGGTGCCCAGACATAGACTCCAATCCTTTAAGCATTGTACATTTTATGTATGTGGAAAGCATCCCTTTTAAAATTGTCTTTCTTGCCTGTCTTGCCAAGGATATGAAAACTTTTGTATGACTTGGACTTCTTGAAAACATTTCTCCTATCTGTGGGAGTTAAGGTTTCCTGGCTTATAAGTCTATAGCCACCATCAAATACAAACTCCATCTTTATTTCAAGGTGATTTTAATGAATTTGTCATTGACAAGCTTTATCTCTCATCTATTATCTTCTGCTGGCCCCAGGGGTAAAGAGAAGAAGTGGAGTTGACTTTGGGGATCCCGGTGGCCTCCCTCCCCCTTCTGCAATTCCACCACTGCATCTCTTGGATCCTCTGCCACACGCTCAGTGCAGAGCCGGGCACTCAATCCCTGCATTTGACAAACAGGAAATGTTTGTCAAATGACCGTGTTGTAACTCTCCCTCCTGACCTGGGATCCGCCTGTGAGGAGGCGCCAGGGCAGGCGTTTCCTCTATTACTGCCTCTCCTCTTGGGGCTGGGCTCTTCCCGGAACCTTTGCTTTGAGGTCTGTCCAGTCTATACTGTGCAAAGCAGTGGTGTGTCTGCCCCGCTGGATACAAAACGGGTTTCAGGAGTTTCCAGGGGTCTTCAAGAGCCAAGGTGCTCTGTTCAAAACCACTCCTGGCTGCTGCTTAAAGCATGCCCTTTGGGACCCTGCTTGTCAATCGGTACCCACTGGTCCCACTTGGCCCCACTGTCAGTCGGTACCGGTGGTCCTTCCCTGATGGTCAGTCTCCTGAACACTCTGGTTCTTTCCTTCCTCTGCTCATGTTCTGAAGAACTGATTGAGAACTTATGGGGCTTTCAGAGGCAGACCCCAGGCCTTGGTCCCAGGATGTTTCCCTGGTTGCTCAGCCTCTGCAGAAAATGCCAGCCGGTCCTTACCTGGGACTGCCCTCCTCCCTGTCCATTCCCTGCCCCTCAGCCCAGTTCCTGGCCTCATTTGGCTTTCTGGGCTTCACCGTCTGACCTGATGAGGGGCCATTTCAC